TTGTGTGTGTGTGTGTGTGTGTGTGTGTGTGTGTGTGTGTGTGTGTGTGTGTGTGTGTGTGTGTGTGTGTGTGTGTGTGTGTGTGTGTGTGTGTGTGTGCGTAATTAGCTTTAAATATGAACTAAACCCACAGCAATCGGAAAAAGTTAAAATGTTTATAAATTGACAGGAAATAAGCGTAAATATATGTATACAACATTCATTTTGAGTTTAATGCTTGTTTGATGATCACCATCCTTTAGTCTGACGTCACATTAGCCAAAGTAGTTTACCTGCTGTCCATAATGAGATGTTTGAAATGGCATTAAAGTGGCTGTGTGTGTGTCAATGGGGCTCTACAGTTGACTGTTACAGACATCTCAACATCACAGACGGATCAAATATGCTGAAACGTACCTTTGGAGCACATGAAGTGTTTCTTCTCTGAACAATGATAACCTGTCCATGTGTCGTTGTCAATAGCTTCACAAATCTGCTTCCCATCTGGCAAACTCACAGATGATTTATTGAAGTTGACATTGTCACCGTTGGACCAAGTAAGATTTCGATTCTTACGCAGACCAAGCCAGAAAGAATGTCTCTTTGATTTCTGAAACTTATATGTGAAAATGTCGTCCTCTTCATCATACAGAGTTACAAGTAATTCATTATTCTCAGAACAATGTTTCTTCGCATTACTCCACGAAATAACATCTTCATGAAAATTTAAAATTCGTAGGTGTGAAGTCAATGTAAAGTGAAATAATCCTGTGAAAAGAAAAAAAACACAATACATTTTTCTTTACTTACTTAATATCAACTCCTTATTAAAACAATATTTTGAGCTTTAGAATGTTTGAATTGACATTACTAGGAACCTCTGATGAATGCATGATTCATTTCTCATTTTATCAAAGTAGGAATAATGGAGGCAGCATGTAGAAATATTTAGTGCTACTGATTAGAAAATATATCATCTTTGAGATCTATTTGCAGGGCATGCATTAACTTATGTGCACAAAATATCCAAAGATCAGAAAGGAACCCTCACCTGAACACAGCAGGAAAACCAAAAGAGCCATCTCCACGGTGATGTTAGGTTCAAATGGTGAGAAGACTTTGAAGAATACAAAGAATAAACAAAGAGTATTAAGCACAGAGAAAGATCTAGATGTTTAAATGCGTCGTGTGTATGAGAGCTGTTGAACCCCTCATTATTAACAGTGTGTGTCGTCCATATCTATGAAGTCTCTTACCTGTTGAGGTCCGGTGCCGTATGCTGTTGCAAACTTTGAGAATCCACAGGTTTATATCTGGTATGAGGGACGTGAACCAGCTGAACGCACCATCTATTTTCCCTTACATGAGTACATAGTAAAATCAGGAAAGGCGAGAGATTATTGATTAACTAAAGGTGGTGAAGTCTGGCTGAATGGATCTCTTATAGCATACCTAACTCATTTAGAGGAAGAATTTGACTGTCACCTTTTAGGGTGCTTTCATAAGCCTACATTTAGTCAGGTTTAATCTAATTTTATTGCTGTTCAACGCAAGGTGCAGTTGCTTCTATGCTCCAGTAAAAACAGACTGTATTTGCTGGAAATGGCATTTGCATATTTGCCATAGCGAGTACTGCCTGTCCTTTGAAAAAAATAAGATAAAAATACTGTTAGATTACTGAAGAAAATAAACACTTTTGTAAAGATGGAGCAGACCGAACAAGAAAGGAACACTACCTCCAATTCGTAAAAACTAAATGTCTCGTCAAATGTAAATTAAACGTAAAAATAGGCAATTTGTCACCAGGAAATATACAAAGGGTGCTGCATTTGGTGTAGCAACATGTCAAGTGTTACTGTATGTATTCCTATTTGCTTTTCATTTGTACTGTTCCCATCCATCCATGCACACTGGGCTTTAGGCCTTTTAAGTCTCTAAACTGACCCTGGGCAAGTCCTCTGTCATACCCATAGACTACTCTAAGGCTTTGTTAACACTTCGTATATAAATGGGCATTTGGTGGTACTCTCACTCACTCTCTGGACATCTCAGGCCTCTGATAATGTGTATGTATGTTTAGGTTAACCAGGCCCAATGGGTGTCGAACTACATGAGCTTAGTTTGACTGCACTTTCAAAGACTAAGGAGCACCGTTGTGTGTTTAGGACAAGTGAGCTGTACGATATATACCACTGCCACTGTTATAGAGATAATTCACACCGTAACTCAGCCTCGTCACCTCACTGAGTTGGTTTAAATTGGGGGACTAAGCCATATTTTTTATTTCCATTGTAAGTTCAACATGAATTTGACCTACGCAGTTTTTGGAGAGAGGGATAGATCCACACATGTTAAAAAGAAAAAAGTAGAAAGCCATGCGTATTAGACTACAAACTGTAGCTCTATTAAAGCATCCAGTGCTAGGGTTTTGTGCAATCATTGGACATTGATGACAAGACTTCCAGACATCAAAAATGTGCAATGAGCGTACGTTCAGTTGTTTTGAGTGCTATACTTTGAG